TTCACATTTTCCATATCTTGTTTTCTTTGATAAGCATTCCATGAAATTTCTCAAGATATATCCTCATTAATCTCTTTAGTTATATTTACTGCTTAACCCACTGGTTGAGTTTTTTTTTAATTTCAACTTATATTTTCATTTTTATTTCATTATTTTTTAAAAATTTGAGACAAGATCTTGCTAAGTTGCCCTGGGGGGCCTTGAATTTGTGATCCTCCTATCTCAGCCTTCTGAATCACTGGGATTACAGACAGATGTGTACCACTGCACCATCTTCAAGTTTTCAGTTTTAGATGTTTCATTTTTTTCCTTTCAACTCTGTGAGTTCACAGCCCTTAATTGGTTATCTTTGTGAAATAATTCTTTGTTTACTTTAAACATGTAGTACATATTTCCTCAAAATTCTTTTTTATAACTCCATGCATGAATACTTGGGGACATAAATGTATTATTGTTTTTGCTGACTTTAATGTTACCATTGTTTCTTTGAAACCTTTGAATATGAGCTAATTGCCTTATCTTAGTATGTGTTATTGCAATGGTTCTAAAAAGGGCAAAAATCCCACCTGAAAGGCTTTCCTGTGCTTGGGCTACTAAGAGGTTCTAATAGCAAAGTACTACTTTAGGCCCATTTAAGTATCCTGGATCAGCTGCCAGTTAAGGCTCATCTTGAAACTTTGTTAGTAACCTAAAGCTGAGTGTCCTTAACTCAGTGCTGCCGCAAGAGTCTGCCTAGGGGCACCCAAACTCCTCTGGGCTGCCTACTGCTCCCAGCTCTGGATAGTTACTTATATCCACAACTCTTCTCTTCAGAAAGACACTAATATAACTCCAAACCTTTTGTAAGACTCACAGTGCCTCAAAAATTATTGTTCTGTCCATAGCATCTAATCTATTGGGTAAAATTCCTCAAAACAAAATGAACAAACAAATAAAAAACTATTCTACTAGAGTGCTAGAAACTAAACATTGAAGTCAATGTTTGAACTTGATTCCGCAGACAGAAGTATCTGCAGGGCTATCAACAACCTTCTCTGTCAGGGACATTGAGAGAAAACCACTCTGAAAAGTTGCTTCATTCATAAAGGAAATAGACATATTTTAGGGGTGTCAGCTAAGACTGTTGTTGGGCACTCAGTAAACACCAATTAATATGTTGACACTTTATCATTTGCTTTTTCTATTTTCCAATTTCTAATTCTCCTAATGCCATTTCTAACTTTTCCACCCAAAATCATGGTTTTACTTTATATTCCTATTTGCTTGAATAACTTTAAGAAATCCAGAAGCTGTTAGTAGAGAGCAAAGGTAGAGATGAATGCATGAAAATACATTCCATATCTAAATCAATAAGTGGACAAAATGGAACAAATTCTTAAAGTACCAACAAACTTTCATTTGAACTTAATTTCAAAGTTTAACTTCCAAATAGATCCGTGGGAACACTTAATTTATCATGTGGTAGATGGAATGTGCTCACTCATTCAATAAATGATTACCAAGTGCCTATTAGTTGTCTGGCACTGTAATGGGTGCTAGGGATACAATAGTAATAAAAATAAAGTTTATAGTTTGTATAACTTGTAGTGTAGCCAGATATACAAACTAGACAGGAATAACAATTAAAATGCAACCATTCCTGAAAACAGTGGGGAAAGACGGTCATATGCAAGCACACAAAATATGGAGGGGACAGCCTGGCAAAGAAGGGACAGTGAGAAGTATGGGGAAGAGCCGTGGAAACATCATTAGGCAAGAAGAAAAATTAGCAAAACTAAGAGTGGTTCAATGGAAGAAAATGAAGGATCATTTTTGGGGAAGGATTATGAAAGATGTGTTTGGAAAGACACTAAGGCCAGGTCATTCAAAACAATGTTGAAATGTTTTGCTTTATCTTAAAAGAAATGGAGAGACATTAAAAGATCTTATGCACAGACATACCTTGACTACATTTGCATTCTGCCAAGTTTCTCCCTTCCAGTCCTCCTTCTTCCTCTTCTTCCTCTCCTTTCCCTTCTCTTCCTTTTCCCTTCTTTCTTACCCTCCCCACGCTCCTTTCACTGGAGATTGAACCCAGGGGCAACCCACCACTGAGCTACATCTTTAGCCCTTTTTATTTTGTCTTTTTAAAATTTTGAGACAGATGCCCAGGTTGATCTCAAACTTGCAATCATCCTGCCTCAGCCTTCCGAGTAGTGGGATTATAGGCATGCACTACTGCACCTGGCTCAAAGGTTTTTGGGTAGCATGCCAAAACGGAGAGGAAAATGGTCCAAGTGGGAATCAGGGAAACCAGGTAGAATGCGTGTTTTAGTAATTCAGGTGATAGCAAGATTATTGAGGATGAGTATGGAGGGAAATGGATAAATTCAAGTCATTTATAGGTAGGATATGCAACTTGTATGGAAATAAAAGAGCTGAGGAGAAGTACAGTTCAAGAGATGACTCCATGAATTTGGCTAAATAAACTGTCTCTAGGGGGAAAATAGATGCGAGTTTAACTGGAAAATTTGGATCCTAGTAACAATTGGTCCTCACTGCAAACCAAGCCTCCTCAAGATACTTTTGTGGAAAAGAGGGTTTCTTTCCCTTTCTGTTTCCAACCCAATGAAGAAGAAGATTCCTCTGCTATCAGATCATTATCTGCAATATGGCATTAAGTAGGAAAAGCACAAGTCCAGTTGTCAATCTGATTCCATGAAGATGAAACAAGGACAAGGAAGAACTCTGGGGTTGTTGCCCAGAAATTGAGGAAAAGAGAAAGCAAGGGTCCCAGCTTCTACCTCAGTCATGGTTACTGCTATGCAGTTTTTCATGCTGGGATTGATAGATAGGTCCATCAGGGGCCTATTTTCATGGCAGACTCAAGGTCTCCTAGAAGAAGACACATCCATTAAAGCCTTAAGTAATACATAGAAAGGGTGAGTCCAAGTACTTCAGAAGGCTTATTGTACAGGGATTAAAAGTATGGGCTCTTCCCTGCCTTACTTGAGATAAGGCTCTGTCCCATCTCACTACATGTGAAAGTGACTATGAAAGAAGTAGGCCAGATTTCAGTACAGTTAAAGTTGTGTCCAAAAGTAGTTTTTTTGCCAAGATTACTAGGATCTCAAACAGGGAATTATGATGTATAACCCTGCCAGAATTCAAGGTAGCTATTATATAAGCTAAATATGTTTTTACCCTAGTTAGTTTTGTTTTGTAGTTTGCTTATAGATGGTTTAAGGATTGCCTGTTAATGTTTTAAAGAGGTACTGCTTTAAGAACACAACCTGGGTCAACATAAGATAAGGAGTTATCACCTACAGGATAGAGAGATAGACATTAAAGCCCAGTGCTCTTAATATAAGGCTGTTAACTTATTTGCTGGATGTTTAAGATTAAGTTCTAAAATTAAAAATTTGGCTCTTGCCCTCTGAGTCAGTCTGAATCAGGGAATAGGGGACTTCTCCAAAGGGCTCTGCAACTCTAGGCCACATAACCTCCTGAGCAGGGAGATTAATGAGACCAGTGGAGGACAGAAAGCCAATCAGTGCATTTGCTATGAAGAGGAGGGTCATCAGAAAAGGGAGACATCCCTGATGCTTCCAAGGGAAGCCACATGGTCAAGCAAGGCCTAGACCCATCCTAGCACAAATGGCACTAGCGGAACTGAGAAGCTGCTGTAAGTTCCCCAAGGACTCCCAGGGAAACTCAGCTGACTGTTAACAATAGATAGAAACAAAAGTCAGTTTGACTTGCTTCATCTTAAACATTTAGCAAAGACAGTCAAAGCTATCCCTGGGCATTTTAAATAATAATAATAGTTAAATGTAATTTCCAAAAATAAGTAAACTGGAGGCTGCAAAAGAGATTCTCAGACAGGAATGCCTGATACTATCAAAAGGAACTGCCAGAGTAGTTTTTAGTTTAAGGCCTTTATTTCTAACCTACACAGGTAGGCTTAATGTTTGCTAGTATGGTTATCCAGCCCTAAGTAACAGAATTAAAGATTTCTCTATTAGACACAGAGGTCATACTAGTAAAAGGATTTTACAAGACCAGATGACATTAAATTATTAAACTGTATCTTAAGGAAAAGGACATCTGTAACCCTAAAAGTTAAATGTTGTGTTTACATCCCTGACATTTCTCGCAATGTGACAAATATCCTTAAAAATTTACATGCTCAGATAGAAGCCATGTCCTCAGCAACTTTGTCATGGAAACAATATCTTAGCTCCTGGTTCTTGGTACTTCCTGGTGGAAAACATTTTTAGTCTTTGTATTTGCCATCATACTCATTGGCATATTCCTGTGCTATGGCATTTATTGCTGCATCAATATGGTTCCAGTACTAATGAATTATTGTTTCTCTTATACACCATCCATCACTCAAATGGCCCTCCAGCCTATTACTTCTCAATCAGACTTCTATCATGGACCACTCGATAGACCCGATTTTTAAAGGGGGACTCCAAATTGCTTGCCCCACATAGTCCCTTTTCAGCCTGAAGAAGCCAGAAAGATCTTCTTTGTCCCCCTTCCTTACAGCAGTAAGGAGTTCCCAAATTAGAGGGGGGAATGAAGCCAGATTTAGGTAAATCGGGTCTAATATCGAGTGAAATCTAAAATGGAGGCCGTGCGGAGAATGACTCAGGGAAAACACAGGACAACTCATGGAATGTTAATGAAGTCCCAAAAGGCCCTAGGCCAAAGTCCACCTCAAAGAAATGTTAATGAACAGCCCCCAGCAAAAAGGCGCTGACTCAGAAGTCCTTCCTGACCAGATTACTTCTTTGGCCCACCTGTGTCCCACCCCTGGGGCCTTCCCACCTACATTCCATCACTGAAAGAACTATAAAAAGGGGAGACAACATCTCTTCCACAGATTCCACCTCTTGGGTCCCCTTCTTCCTCCGGGAGAAGTCTTTTCTGCTGTCCTTTAATAAACTTCTAATTTCTACTCTGAAAAAAAAAAAAAAAAGTATGGGCTCTAAACTGGGCACAGTAGCACATACCTGTAATCCCAGTGACTCGGGAGGCTGAGGCAAGAGGATCACAAATTGGAGGCCAGGCTCAGAAACTTAGATTCTGTCTCAAAAAATGAAAGAGGATAGGGACTTAGCTCCATGATAAAGCACTGCTGGGTTCAGTCCCCAGTAGCAGACAACACCAAAAACAATAACAAAAAAACAAAAAATGTATGATCTCTAGAGCTATTTTGTGATGGCTATTATGGAGTAATTACTTATCACCATATCCCCCAGTGTCCTTATTTGTGCCAAGGATAACTTCTCTATTTATCTTATAGGGTTGTTGTAGGATTAAATGAATAAATACATATCAACTCAATAAATATCAGCTATTATTATTACTTTAACTCAGCTCATCATGGACTTTGGATCTGAGCCTTGAGGTGGGGCTGGGCAAGGTGGGGAGCAAGGGGGAAACTACAATAACACACAGTGGTCTTGACTAAACCTCACTAATAATTTAGGGCATAAGAAACATCGAACAAGAGTGTGCTGTGTTGTCAGATGTGCCCTGATGCCCACTGCAGCTGGCTGTCTCTGGAAGGTGGTGACTCACTCTGGACATGGGGCTTACACAGACCCCAGGCAGGAGGGCTCACTGAAGGAGGCCAGGTCCCCAAAATGCAGGCCAAAGGAATCACTTAGTAATGCTCCTTTGGTGTTTTAATTTTAACTGTTTGCACAGGATATTTAGGTAGGCATAAAAATATAGTGAAGTTTTTGAGCCACAAATATGGTAACTGGGAGTGTTCTGAGAAAGTTCTCAGTTGTGTTCTGCTGTAGTACGTGAAGTACAACCACTCGCTCCGGAGGAAAGGCTACTGGCAGACTTACAAGATGAATCATTGCTGAAATGTATTCAAATAGAATTATAAAGGGACGGAATATAACAGGAAATAAGCCTCATGGGTCATTCTGAGTTATAACCTTTTCTTTTTTTTTTAGTGTGTCTGAGTTTGAGTTTATTTGAATAATTCTAGGATGTGCTGTGTTGAGTAAGGGAAGGACGGGAAGTTGTGATCACTCAGGTTTTATCATCTGGTTTTTCACTTTTTATGAAAGATTTTTCCCCTTTGTGTTAGAATAATTTTGGTCAATTTTTTTCAAGTAACACTGTTATTTTTTAAGAGTTAGAGTCACAGTGCCTTTGTTTTATCAGAGTAGAATCTGTTCTGCACAAAATTTAAAATTTACTCTTGATTTTCATCTGAAACTTGAGAATAGAAACCAAATTGATACTTTTCTATTCTTCAGTTTTTCCAGGTACTTTTTACAATCCACTTTCCACACTGTTTCCAGAAAGTTAACTCAAATTTTAAAACTTGGTTTTGACTATGTTCTAATATTTGTTGTATAGACAAAGAATGAAGTAGAAGAAATGTAGTACCATGTGCAGTGGCACATGCCTATAATCCCAGCAGTTTGGGAGGCTGAGGCAGGAGGATCGCAGGAGGAATATAAGTATATAATTTCCCTGCCTAAGTTTCCTTAGTGTATCCATTAAGCTGATGTTTACCAGGCCTGCTACATCTGGCACTTTGATACTGTGAAATATGTATTTGGTTGGCCTCTACATTTCCTGTACACAGTTCCAATCTGTTAAATGGTGTCTTTTGTATGCTAACGAGATGACTATGGCTGGTGGATGAGGGAGGATCTCTTTGCTAGGAAACCAATCCTAAAATTAAAGTATTGGAGTTTTCAGTCCTGCCCTCTGACCTCTGGGGAGGGGACAAGGGATGAAAATTGAATTGATCATCAAAGGCCAGTGTTGTGATCAATTATGAATACTTAATGAAGCCTCATTAAAAAACCAAAAGGACTGGATTTAGAGACCTCTGGATAGTTGGAAAAGCAGAGGCACCTAATGAGAGAGCAGCTGTTACTTGGCTCAGCGGAGTGTTGCCATGTGTCAGTCTCCAATGATTTAGGACTTGGCTCCCCCCTCACTGCTGCTGGGGCTCAAACCCAGGATCCTCACACATGCGAGGCAAGTTCTCTACTACTGAGCCCCCTGCAATTTTTAAAGAAAATCTGTAAATATTTTTTTCTTTTCTGGTGGAATCTCAAAGCTCTTACATGATGGCAACTTTACTTTTTTTACTCTCCAAAAGTCAGCTGTAATGCCAGATTTGTGGGACCCCAATACACCTCCAGGAGCTGAATCCGATGCACTCACATGAGAGTCTTTATTGCAAGCTTGAGCCTGGACTCACAACCCTTTCGATGCAGCGGTCCCAGGGAGTGAGTCCTGGTCCTTTGTTTAGTGAGATTTTATAGGTTTTGGGAGGATACTCTATGCATCACAACATCACACTGCAAATCATTCCATACCATGGGAAAATCACACAACTCTTAACATTAATTAGCACATTCACTGGTGGGAACTAGTTGGGTAGGGGTGATCGGTTAATACAAGAGGGCGATTCCTTTGAACTGATTGGTTTAGGCCACGAGGGGTGTACGTGCTAAACTACATGGTTTCCCAACATGTTTAATCAACCACCATAAACTACTTGGGGGTCATCTGACATCCCAGGTATTTTCCCTGTCTCATGTGATTGGTGGTTGCTAGGGGGTTGCTATGGGTCCTCACCTAGCCTAATGAGTCAGGGACACCGGTGCCGCAGACCTTTCCTGTTATTTGCAGACAAACAACTCAGCAAGGTGGGTATGTGCCTAGGAGTGCTCTGTGGGTTTTTCCAAGGACAAGGGTCACGCCCCCTTCCTTGGACAGGCTTTGCTCTGAGGTAGAGGCTGGTTTATAAAAAATGGAGTCACATAAGTTTCTCAAAGCGAATTTTGTTCTGTTTGCTATTTTTATTCCTATTGGCAGTCAAATTGATAACTCTTAAAGATACCAGTCCTTTTTCCCATTATCTACTCTTCCTAAGCCTGAACCCCTCATCCCTTCATAGTTAAATCCCAGGTTCTACAGCTCTCTTAGCACCCTGTATATTTTCTTTTGTAACATTTGTTGTAATTTTGTGAGTCATAATTCTCATCAATCTCTTATAAATTCCAGGAAGTTGGACAGCATGCACATCTTTCTTTGTTGTATCTAGAATAATATTTGGGATGCAAAAGGGCACTCAATAAATATTTTGAGTCTAATGGAAACATGTTATAATATTATGTTCATTACATTAATGTTAGACATAAAGCATAAACATCACCCCGCCTTTTTTTTAAATTGAGAGCCTATAATACTGTGCATTTAAAATGACCTTTTGAAGTCATTCAGCTTTTAGTGATAAATCCAGCTTCTGACTCAGAAAACATGGCTCTCGCCATTGTACCATGTTATCTTTCTTAGTAATTCTTAGATTTTCATAATATTGTAATTCTGAAACCTTTGACTACTCTAAGTTGTTAAAACTGGGTTTTGACTGTTTTAATATTTGTTGAGTAGACAAAGAATGAAGTAGAAGAAATGTAGCGCCATGTGCAGTGGCACATGCTTGTAATCCCAGCAACTGGGGAGGCTGAGGCAGGAGGACTGCAAGTTCAAAATCAGCTTCAGCAATTTAGTGAGGCCCTAGCAATTTAGGGAGACCCTGTCTCAAAATAAAGAACAAAAAGGACTGGGGGTGTATATGTGTGCCAGTGGTTAAGTGCCCCTGGGTTCAATCTTCAGTACCAAAAAAAAAAGGAAAGCAAAGACCATTAGCATTGTTAAAAGACAAATGTTTTTAATCTGGAAGAATGCTTTTAATTTTTTTTCTGGATTTAGTATTTTCATCTGTTATTAATACTTGATTATAGTAATGATAATAGTCTGATGCTCCATACATTCATCTGAATCTCTTTTCTCTGTTGTGCTAGATAAGAGTAAATCTTGATTACCTGAACAGCCTGTTTTTCTTTATTCCCACACTTGCTGTGTTGCTGGCATCTATCAATTCGCTAGAGAGTCAATAAGAGAGAAAGAGAAAAATGTAAGAAAATACAAAAGAAAACAAAGGAAATTACAGAACTGCTAATATGACTGAATTATAAGAGCATAATCGCCAATTATCAGTCATTTCCTAGGTTTATGTTAAAATGGCAATCAGGACTGGAGATATAGCTCAGTAGTAGAATGTTTGCCTAGTATGTGCTAGGACTTGGGATTGCGCCTCAACACTGCAAAAAATTAATAAACAAAATTACATAAAATCACAATCAGAAGGTATTTAAGAATAAAGAAGGCCATTTACCACTATTCTTTAAGACCCTGAGAAAAAGTGTAGATTTTTTAAACCAACAATGTTACTTCTGGTAATTTCTCCTGAGGAAATAAATATGTCCAAAATAGCAAATGGTTTACTATGTTATGACATGTCTTAATAATGGGATATTATGAATGATGATTAATTATGTTTTGAAAATATTTAATAATGTAAATGAATGGTCATTTCACCGTAGTAAGAAAAAACAGAGAGAATCGAAATCTTTTATAAAATATTTTCCCAATGTTGAAGTGAAAATAAAAAGCTTAAAATAAATTTCCGGATTGTTTTATGTTTGAGCAATGGAGCTATGGGCAATTTTTATTTTCTCTTAAATTCTTCTATACTTACATATTTCTATATATAGTTTATAGCCTTTTGTAGATGTTAAATAAGGAAGTTAATTAAATTCAGAAATATATCCTTTTAGTTAAATCATAAACAAAGTGATGAAGACTTTGGCCTTCTTTCTTCACTCTTATTGTATAAATATTTTACTTTCTCTTCATCTTCTGTTTGAGCCTTTGGATGAAGTCCATGTACCTCCTGCTGATAGATGTGTTAATATTTTAAAGAGAGATCTCCTTGATTGGAACAGAATAAGCCCCAGAGACTATGTTTATAAGGCATTTAAAGCAGGGTACCTCAAGATTTGAAAGATGACATTGATATTATTCTTTTCATTTAAAGTTCAAAGTATTATGAACGAATAGTGTTTTTAAAATACTTTCCTAACTATACATTTTACTTATTTTTTCCCCCATGTGTTAACATCCTTCTTCTCTCTCCACTCTGAATTCTATCTCCAATTTTATTCTTCAGGCAAGTAGGCAGGAGTTGGGAATGAAACAGAAATGACACAAGTGCCATTTTAAGAAGGGAGACAGGCATATTTGAGATTTCTGATTCAGACATTCAAGATGAGACTATTTTATTTCCTAACTATATCTGTATATGTTATATCCCATCATAGAAATCATATGTCAATAAATCAGCTTGACTCTTAGCACTAGTCTTTCTTGGTTTCTTGGCTTTGTGCTTGGTTTATTAGAACGAGCTAAGGTGACTTCAAAACAGATTCCCTGCATTAAATACTCTGCCACACACTATTTTATATAAACAAGCACTGTTACCTTGGAGGTTTGTCCCTCAGAGCTTCATGTGTTGGAGACTTGGTCCCCAGGGTGGTGGTGTTGAGATGGTGGAATCTTTAAGAGTTAGGACCTTGTACAAAGCAGGTAGGTTCTGGAGGCTCCACCCTCACAAGGGAATCAGTGCTGTCTTGGGGGAGTGAGTCAGGTCTCACGTGACTGATTAGTTCCAAAGAGAATGACTTGTCATAAGCAAGTCTGGCTCCTTCCCCGAATCCTTCTTCCTCATCCTACGTTCACCACGTCTTTGTGCACCCCTTGTGCACCACTTCTGGTAATCACCAGTTGCCAAAGATTTCATCAGTAGGCTACTATGATGCCATCTGTCATGAGGCCCTTACCAGAGCCAAGCAGATACTGGCCCCATATGTTTGATGGACAAGATATTCATTGCTTTATTTCATAGAAAGAACACATTTAGTTTTGTGCAAACTATAAGACTTCAGGCAAGAAACTAACTTTTCTAAAAGTTAGTTTTCATCTGAAAAATAGAAATAATAGTATTACTTCAAAGTTTACCTTCTTTGTGTGTGTGGGGAGAGAGTAACTGAATTATATAAGCATATTTACCATATTATAGGAATTTAACAGATGAGATGATTATTAGATAGGGTATACAGTTAGGGAAAAGTAGCTCCACATTAATTAGGATATGGGATCTGTGATATTGTGATTTGTAATAAATACATGTTTGGTCTTTGTCTCCACAACTTTTAAAACCCCTGGAGTATCTAAAAAAAAGTTCTTGTATATTAATGAGATGATTGATGACTGGAGCTTCTTGGATGGCCTTGGATGAGGGCAGGTTGCCAGGATAACCAACCCTATCATTAGAAGATTGGAACTTTTAATTTCACCCTCTGACACAGGGGTAAAGAGTCTGAAGGTTGTGTTGATCACCAGTCACCAACAATTTAATCAGATATGGCTATATAATGAAGATTACATAAAATCTCCTGAAGATTGGGTTTGGACAGCCCTCGGAAAGCTGAGTTGTGGAGTCTGGAGGATGGCACACCCAGGAGGGCATGTGGGCTTCCCGCCACTTCCCATACAGCTTGCCCGGTTCAGCTCTTCCAACTAGCTGGGAATTCATGTACTTTTACAGTAATTGGGCAAATTTAAGTAAAGTGGTTCCCTGAGTTCTGGGAGCCATCTAGCAAATCAGAGGTCATGGGAATGTTTTGCTTTACAGCCAGTTGGTCAGAAGTACAGGTTAAACAACTTGGAACTTATGACTGGCTTTTGAAGTGGGGGACAGTCTGATGGGACTGAGCCTTTAATGAATGGGGCTTATTGACAGTGTCAAAGTTGAATTAATAAAACATCTAGAGAATTGATCAGTGTAGCAAATCCCCCACAGATCTGGTCACAAACGTATTTGGGTTGTGTTTAGAATATAGTAGGTTTTTTTTTTTTTTCCTACACAGTAATCCCCTAGGTAATCTGAAGAATATTGCCTTCTACATAGCAAAATCATAAAAATGCCTATCATGGTCTTTCATTACATGTTCAAGAGATTCTTTTATGTTTACAACTTTATTTTTTTTAAATAAAAAAATCTCTTTTCTATAGAGGAAATAGGGAAATTCCATTCGTGGCTAGATTGATCAAGAGCCCCAGGTTATATTATTTCCTAGAGTACCTTAGGAAATAAAGCATAATCGTTAACATTCCTGATCATATTAATGATCTTAATTATTATAATTATTACATTATAATAGTATGAATCTCACTAATTTCTTTATGTTTGGAATCAAGACTTTTATTTGAGAACTTTTTTTGTGGTATTAATGATTGTTATGGTTTAGTTGTGAGATGTCCCCCAAAAGTTCATGTGTGAGAAAATGCAAGAAGGTTTAGAGGTAAAATAATCAGGTTAGAAGAGTCTTAACCCAATCAGTAAGTTAGTCCCCTGATAGGGATTAACTAAGTGGTAATTGAAGGCAGGTATGGTGTGGCTGGAGGAGGAGGGTCCTTGAGGGCATGCCTTTGGGTTATATATTTTATCTCTATAGCCTAGTCTCTTTCTCTGCTTTCTAATCATCACATGAGCAGTTTTCCTCTGTCACACTCTTCCACCATGATGTTCTGCCTCATCTGGTGCCCTGAGGAATGGAACTGGCAGTCTATATGGACTCAGGGAACCACTTTACTTAAATCTGCTCTGAATCTGTGAGCCCCCAAATACATTTTTCCTCTTCTAATTGTTGTTTTTGTCAGGTCTTTTGGTCACAGCAGCAATAAAGCTTACTAAAACAATGATTAAACCCAGTTTTGCTCTACCACTGAGCTACATCTCCAGCCCTTTTTCTTTTTGAGACATGGTCTCACTAAGCTTCCCAGCCTGGCTTCCTGTCTCAGCATCCTGAGTAGCTGGGATTACAAACTGTGCACCACTATACCTTGTAAACATTTAATAAACATACATATGAGGCCAGGCTAAGTGACACACGCCTGTAATCCCAGCTGCTTGGGAAGCTGATATATGAGGATCACAAGTTCAAGGCCAGCCTGAGCAATTTAGTGAGACACTATCTCAAAATAAAAGACAAATCTGGACATGGTGATGCACGCTTATAATCCTAGCGACTCCAGAGGCTGAGGCAGGAGAATCTCAAGTTCAAAGCCAGCCTCAGCAATTTAGTGAGACCTTAAGCAACTTATCAAGACTCTGTCTCAAAAAAAAAAAAAAAAAAAAAATGAAAAGGACTGGGGATGTAGCTCAGTGGTAGAGCACTTGCCTAGCATGCTTCAGGGCCCTGGTTTCAATCCCCAGTACCGCAAACAAACAAAACCAAAAAGACAAAAAGGAAAAAAAATATGAAAATCAATATTTAAAACTATAATCTGGATTCAAAGACAAACATTGTGTTAGCTTTAACATAAGAGGGGAAAAGGAAAATCAAAATGAGTATAATTGGTGTTTTTCACATTTATCAAAATCACATATTCAAGTAGCGATTTGGTATAAGTACAAATATGGTATGAAACTAAAAATGCTTATGGACTAGTATGTCAGATCACAGTGAGGTGCATTCATTTTGCACTATTTTTCTGAATTCTTTACATATTACAGAAAACTTCATCATCCAAACAAGATTTTTGGATGGTTCGCTCAGTTCTGCAGCTTCCGTTTGTCATCATTCTGACCATTAGAGAAGCATGTCAGGCAGAGAACTTGCCCTGAGGCCAAGGAGGTTGTGTGGGCTCAAGTACCTGCTTGTTCACTCTGAGTGAAAACACCTTCCTGGGAAGGAGTTTATAATTAGTAACAGCTTGAAGACCTCATTTTAAGTGAGGAGAAATCATCTGGGCATTAGATTGGGAATTGGGAAGAAATGAGGAGGTAATAAAAGTTTGGTGCCAAGTTTTTCTGTTATGGGCACCTACTGCACTATTCCTGCTAGATAAGACATTTCTCCTCCTTTCCGTCTTTTCCAGTGATGAAAGTGACTTGTCTCTTCTGGAGGGAAGTTACTGGAGAGGGATTGGCTTGTGAGCAAAGCAGGTTTGGTGTGTGAGATTTCATCCTGAATCCATT